TTAGGGCATGTTTAAATTAGCATACCTCATGCAATGCATGCGTGCATTCATTCATTTGTCTTACATGCACCGGGCTCGGTACATCACGCTAACTGCATTTGTACTTCAATTCCAAGTTGAATACGTGCATCAATCGATCGCATTTCACATGCCATATTTAGGGTTAGCCGTGCCTATCTAATTACATCCTGTATGTGTTGCATTAGTCAATTTGACATGAACTAGGATCATGCATGTTTGCTAACTAGTTTACTGTTTTGGCACGGAGTACGATGTAAGTATTTATGCTTTAGCATCCCGCATGCGTGTGAGTGTTGCCATGACAGTATGCTTGCCATGCGGCTAAATGCTTACGTGAGATAAACTGTTTGAATGCCTGTGGGTGGAGGTTGGATTGCTTGAGTTGGGAAAACTCATTTAAATCCGTATTTTAGCCTACTTGCGAGTAGCAAATGCCAAAACATTTTTTTTTTCCGAAACAAACGGATATGCAATGGTTATTCCCAAATTAGGCAATCTAGTCTATACTTGTTTGCTGCGCACATAACATAGTAATTCTAGGCTAATAACCGGAATAAGAACACATAACGTTTTCACAATTGGATATCATGGTTAGTAGAGGCCGGTCTTCGGACCAGGTGAAAGGGGGTGCTCACAGCTGACCTTTCCCGATCGTACCCAAGCTCCCGAGCCGAGATAACTCCGGTGATGACGGACACGTGGCCTTTGGCACCGAGTCAGGGTTTCCTAAATTCCCCCAAAATAAAATATTTAGGTGGCGACTCTGTATCCGGCAAAGCAGTCCAAGTTTGGCACTACTTTTCCAGAAATTTGTTTCTCAAAACGATTTGCCAGATTTGGACTATTTGGTTCAGATTAAGAACCGTGACAACAAAATCGAGTCCGAACTGTAGTAGCATTGATGCCCCTCCACAAGCGCGTCTACAAAACCGCGGTTAAACCGCTAAACCGGTCGACCCAGTCCGGGTTTAAGCGAACCGGACCGATTTGCTATATTTGGTCCAATATTAAAAAAGTTGATACTAAAGGGGCTTGAACAACAACACCTCAAGCTCCAAATAACATGAATTTCTACTGTACCACCATAGTTCCTTGTTAATATGTAGGAAATATATAATATTATTTGTATTCAAATTAACTTCCCTCAAACACATGTATAATTAATATTTTTACAAATAATATTAATATAAAAATATATATAAAAATATATGTTTGATGAATATATATATTAAATTATAAAAATATTTTTAATAAATATATTTTATTTATTTTTAAATTATAAAATAATTATGATATCACGGTTCGATTCCGGCTCAATTCTATAGTTAAATTACTGACCCATCCATCCATTCTTTTTTCTGATTCACTTATTAATTCAATTTTTAAAACATTGTAATCCAATATATTTATACCTCTCAAAAATTAAACCTGACTTACTCCTATACAATGAGCTGCTTTCACCGCCAAGCCACCGGTGTATTACATAATTGATTACCCAAACTTATTCAAATCCCAAATAGATTAAGAGATGTTTTCCAGCAGTGGTTAGACCAAAACTAGTTGGGACTTAATTACGTGACTTTAATACTGGCCTCTATAATAAATAAAACTCAACCGTCACTTCCTTTTCTACCGGGGATTCCTCAATTCTCTCTCTCTCTCTATAAAACACCTACACTCCTACGCCTTCTTCTTCTTCTTCACTCCCTAAACCGAGAGAGAGAGAGAGAGAAAGAGAGAGATAGTCCCTCTGTTTCTCTTCTACTATTCTTCTTCTAGAGAGAGAGAAAGAGAGAGCAATGGAGAGAGGAGGAGGAGGAGAAGAAGGCGATGAATTCGACGGTGGCAGAGAAGAGAAGATGACGATGGAGAGAGTGTTCAAGAACTCAGAAGTGCCTTCATGGAAGAATCAGATAACAGTGAGATCTATGGTGACGAGTTTTGTGTTGAGTATTGTGTTCAACTTCATTGTGTGCAAGCTCAATCTGACGACGGGGGTGATACCATCGCTCAATGTGGCGGCGGGACTGCTAGGGTTTGCCATGATAAAGGCCTGGACGGCGTTGCTTCATAAGTTGGGGCTGTTGAAACAGCCTTTCACTCGCCAGGAAAATACTGTTATTCAAACTTGCGTCGTCGCTTCTTCCGGCATCGCTTTTAGCAGTATGTCTTCTTCTATTACTTGTTTTATTTTTGATAACTTAACCGACTAGTCCGAGACACCAATCCCATTCAGTCAAACTCTCGGACTAGTCAGTCTCGGAGACCTTGGAGAGGATGGCGACTCTAAATTTTTTTATATCCATCACCTATTTAAAATAAATCAACAAAAAGACATACTAATACGTGAGTTTTACAATTAACCTTAATAACATTTTAATATTTATGAATCATTGTATAATATTCTCATTAATAATTTGATGAGTATCAGTCAAGAAGCCGTAATTAATACTAGTAAAAGAAGATGAAATGAATAAAGACAGTATTTTTTTTTTAAATCAGCAAAAGAAACTTTATTGATGAAGAAAACAAACTTACATCAACAAAGAGTGAAGTGCAAAAAGTATCAACGCTAACCAGTTTTGTGTGATGAATAAAGACAGTATTATTAACAGTTTTATGTGCATTCTTTATTAGAAACAAAAAATTGAAATAGATTTAGAAAACGTTCATATTAAATGAACTATACACTTTATATAATAGAGATAGTGAATATGTAAACGAAAATAAGAACCCAAATAACAATGTGATGATGTTATTTCTGTAAATAAAAATAAACGAAAAAACACCAAACTACTTATATGGCACTTGTACATAATTAATTCTAGATATTCAAAATATGGAATTTGAAAATTTCAAATTACTTTTCCTAAATGAAAAACAATTAATAGTTGTTTGTGATTAATCAAGCATTCTCCAATAGAAGTTTTCATCTCTTTTTTTGTTGCATACATGACTACTTGTAAATATATTACAAAGTTTAGAAACATAGAAATCAAAAATACATATATTATTCTTTTTAAAAATAGATTTCAATCTTGTAATATCTTGCTCGTCCTTATATTTTCTATGCCCGATTTTATATTTTATTTCTATGCTACTACACTCATTGACCCACATATGCCCTTGACAGTAGGCTTAATATTCTTTAAATGGTTTGTTTTATTTCACCCATATTTGCTACAGAACATTGTTTTATTTTTGTTTTTGCTAATAATTTTTGGATATATATCAGGTGGGACTGCAAGTTATCTACTAGGAATGAGTGGACGTATTGCAGCCCAAGCAGATGAAGCAAGCAACCCAATCAATGTGAAGAATCTATCTTTGGGTTGGATGATTGGTTTTCTCTTTCTTGTCAGCTTTGTTGGACTCTTTTCGATTGTCCCCCTTAGAAAGGTATAATAATAACAGATTATTACAACAAACCAATTTTAATTTTAACAATATATTTTATTGATAGGCTTTTTAATTTTAATTTTTATTGAATTGTTTTTCCTCTCCTCCTCAGATGATGATACTCAAGTACAAGTTAACATACCCTAGTGGAACTGCAACTGCCTACCTAATCAACAGCTTTCACACTCCTAAAGGAGCCAAACTAGCCAAGTAATTAATACTATCTCTTACCTTAATCTTATTTAATGTAACTATTTAAAACTAAAATTGATATTATTTATCACACAATGTAACTATTTAAAATTAAAACTGATATTACTTACCACTTGACCCTTAGTGCCTCATGAAGCCTTAAGTTTGAGATTCGACTCCCATTGAAAATATTATTAGATAGTCTCGCAGCATCATGTGGTAATACTCCTACCAATTACCAAATGTCATATCCCTAGTTGTTCTCCTATTACCAAATACCAAATTATTGGCTCCACTCATTCTACCAATCACAATACTTCTGGACACTACCTAGCCATGTCCCAAGACCACCACATAACTTCTCGTTCCATTGAGTGCTATCAATTGCTTAGGGACTATGCCTGTGAGCATAGTCGAAGATTTGCCTGACTCGCATGGAAGGAAATGCTTTGCGTGAGTCTTGAGATTAGTCGAGTACACCCAATGAATAGTTTGACCCTTCTATGGATAATGTAGGAAAAAAGAGAAGAAATATTTATACCACACTTTTTCTAACAAAAACAATTGACTTCTAACATTTAGGTTTATTCATATTCTTGATCTACAATTTTTCCTTTTACTTTTATCTTTTTTTAAAATTTAAGTTGTGAGGGCTGGTGGGGGAAAATTATTAGAATTAGCATCTTGTTTATTTATTTTTAAAAATTTTTTTGGGAGCTAATGAGTTAATTAATTTGGATGCAGGAAACAAGTAATGATGCTATTCTATTCCTTCTGTGGTAGCTTTACTAATGCACTTTTTCAATGGTTCTTTGCCGCTGCTGATGGCTGTGGATTTAGTAACTTTCCCACCTTTGGTCTCAAAGCCTTTAGCCAAAGGTTAGCTCTTTCTCAACTTTTCCTAATAACCATTTTATTATTTTATTACTTATTGCTTGTTTAAGTAATATTAGTGAAAGGAAAATGATTTGAAAATGAATGATATTTTTGAATTTATGAGAATCATATATAAAAACCATGTTTATGTATCATTATTCTTATTGAAATTAGTGATAGGAGAATGGAATGTCCTTTGGGATGGAAGGATTTCTACCTTTTTGATATTGGCACACCATAACCCAATGTCTTCATACTTAACCATGCCCAATTTAACGTTATTTAGTTTTTTAGTGAATATCGAAAATTTTCATAAAAATGTATTTATGACTCAACATTTGTCTCAAATCTGTAATTCATTATGACAAAAATGTCTGTACATTTAAATTCAGTCTATTTTATTAGACACAGAACAATGTTGACACTTGTTGATAGTCAATCCAAGTCCAAAATATATAATTTATAGAAATGGATTAGATTGTTGCTATGATTTACATTTTATAGATATAAAATTAAACTGATTTTTTTTTATCATTACATACCTTTAATTTTGTGTTATAGGCTGTGATCTTAACATCCGCATCTTGAATCAAGATTTTGTTGTTGAGAAATGATTAGGTTTTAATTAATTTGGTGTTTGTTTGGATTGCAGGTTCTACTTTGATTTCTCAGCAACATATGTAGGAGTAGGGATGATATGCCCATACATGGTAAATATATCATTGCTAATTGGAGCTATAATATCATGGGGAATAATGTGGCCCCAGATTGAAAAAAAGAGAGGCCATTGGTATAGTGCTGACTTACCTTCCAGCAGTCTTCATGGCATCCAAGGCTATAGGGTATGTCCCATATTCACTTATATTTAAGTTTTTTATTTTTAATTTTTTTTTTTGAACAAGTTATATTTACTTTAAATTTTAAATGATCAACATTTTATTCCACTCCATTAGAAGACCCCTATTGTCGAATTTAACTTATTTTGAAGTATTGTAGCATTTTTTTTTCAAAAAACTCGATTGTTTCGTTGCATTTGCACCTACGTTGGTACATAAAGTCAACTCTTAAATTGTGTGGATGTCATAATTTTTTTTTCCTCTAAATTATCTTTCACCATATGTAACTTCTACCCATGTAATTCAAATAACCATCATTATCATATTCAATTGCTTCAGATTCAATTCTTTTATGTTGAATGACTGAGTTTGGGTGGTGGTAACGTTATTGATCATTTTGATTGTTGCTGGTTGGTTTCAACAGGTTTTCCTTGCAATTGCCATGATGCTTGGTGATGGTCTCTTCCATGTCATCTACATGATAGTAGTAACACTCCACAGTCTCATATCTCAGAACTCAAACACCAACAAACAACTATCATCATCCTCAAACTACGACGAACAAAGAAGAACTGAATATTTCTTAAAAGATCAGATCCCAAACAAAGTCGCTGTCGCTGGTTACATTGCTCTCGCTGCCATTTCCATTGGCGTAACACCAGTCATCTTCCCCCAACTCAAATGGTACCACGTCCTCGTCGCCTACCTCATCGCCCCAATCCTCGCCTTCTGCAATGCCTATGGGTGCGGTCTCACTGACTGGTCCCTCGCCTCCAACTACGGTAAACTCGCCATCATCATCTTCAGCTCGTGGGTTGGGCTCGGCCACGGAGGAATCATCGCGGGCCTTGCCTCGTGTGGGGTCATGATGAGTATTGTCTCAACAGCATCTGATCTAATGCAGGATTTTAAAACCGGGTACTTAACCCTAGCCTCACCTCGATCCATGTTCTTTAGTCAAGTCCTTGGGACCGCGATGGGCTGCGTGATGTCCCCATTGGTCTTCTGGTTCTTCTACAGCGCTTACGCGGTGGGGGACCCTGATGGGTCCTACCCCGCGCCCTATGCTTTAATGTACCGCGGTATTTCCCTTTTAGGAGTAGAGGGTATTTCGTCGTTACCAAAGAACTGTCTTGAACTTGCCATTGGATTTTTTGTCGGTGCCATTGTGATCAACGTGATTCGCGAGGTTTTGAAGCAATGCAAATGCAATGAGATGATTTGGGGGTGTATTCCAAGCCCAATGTGTATGGCGATACCGTTCTACCTTGGAGGGTACTTTGCAATTGATATGTGTGTGGGGAGTTTGATACTTTTTGTGTGGGAGAAAGTGAATAAGCAGAAAGCGAAGGACTTTGTGCCAGCGGTGGCATCAGGCCTGATTTGTGGTGAGTCTTTGTGGGGGGTTCCGGCTGCTGTGCTGTCTCTGGCCGGGGCTACACCTCCTATCTGCATGAAGTTTTTGTCTGCTGCTTCTAACAAGAAGGTTGATGGCTTTTTGGGTACATAAATATATTGGTGAATAGTATTGGAGATCTTTAGAACACTGGAACCTAGAACATAGTTAGTTGATTTTGCAATAAGCAGGTGGATTTTTTTAGTTAGTTGTTTCTCTAATTATTCTTCTTATTCTTCACTGAAATTAATGTACAGATAGATAGCTTTGTGATTCGTAATTTATGGGTTATGATTTTTTAAAAATTTGTGTGCGTGTGTATTTGTGTGTGTTTTGATAGAAAAAAAAAAGAAGGAAACAGCAAAGTTTAATTCTTCATGCTTGTCTGGAATTTTGTTGGTATTGATAGAAAAGATTAACATGCTTAATCTCTGGTTTTTTAGGGAATGTTTGTTACAATTTGTTGCAAATTAAGACCTATTTTAGCAATTAGGAAAAAAGCGGGAAAACAATTACCAATACATGGGGGTGCAAGTATGTTTGTGGTGGAGTGCAAACAAATCTTTCTCTATCCCCCCTCTCTCTCTAAATGTACTCACACATACCCATACATACATATACATTCATATATATATATATATATATATACACACACGTGTGTGTGCGCGCATATATGTATGTTACTTGCATGAATTTGTTTGAACACTATAAACACATGAGAAACTACCTGTAGATGGGAGAAGGGAAAAAGAATTACCAATACATAAGGGGGTATAAGTGACACTTGTACCCTCATAGTCTTTCATTTGCACTCCACCACAGACACACTTGCACCTATCATGTGTTGGTAATTTTTTTCCCTTTCTCCTACCTGCATATAAATCCATCTAATTCTATTTACACACTACTCTTTTTTTCAGTACCCACCATTTACGAAATTTTTTTATTGCAATTTTATCTTTCTATTAAATTACTCTTTTAGACATAGACATAACATTCACCACCGACTTTCTACCTCCAATTCTGATTCTAGTTCCAGAGTCGGCATCGACGTCAACGTCGGTCATTCTTCAACCACCTTCTTCGACTTCTTCTTCTGTCAACCTCCATCGCCTCTCTCTCTTCTCTTCTTCTTCTTATGCAACTCACACTGAGGCCCTTAGTCGCCGCTGCAACTCGTGTTACCCCTCTCTTCACTGCTGATGCTGCAATCATCTGTTACAACCCTATATCCTCTCTACAATGCGACCCAGCTCTTCTAAGATCTAATCCCAGAGAGAGAGACAAAAGAGATTGATTTGGGTTTAAAGATCTAGGGTTTGAAGAGAAAAATAGTAGGGGGCTAGGATAGAAATAGAAGGGAGGAAATGGGTGTTGGGGGTGAGGGTTATGTATTGCTGCGATGAGGGAGGGTGTAGTAGGAGTGGGCAATGGTTTATCCGATCCGCAAAAACCGTCCAATCCGCCTAACCCGCATACAAATGGACGGTTTTGCAAACACAATGCGGGCGGATGCAGTTTGAAATATGACATGTTTGCAGGTTGCGGGCGGGTTTAACCCGCACCCACAAGAAACCGCCCGCACTTTTATTTATTTATCTTAACTGTTGATTTCATTCTTATATCCCACTTAGATATTTTTGCCCAAAACAAAATACCATTTATTCTTTAAACTTACTCTAGCATTACATTTGCTAATAGTATTATATCAACTGAAACTGAATAAATACTGGTCATATTATTATTGTTACATAATTGAATTTGTCCTGGATGAAGTGTGATTTGAAATTTTGAATTCCTTAATAAATATGCAGTTATAGTTTAGGATTTTGAAATATATGCTTGTGTTAGTTTATGATTTGATTTAAGATTTTGAATGATTTATTTGTGTTACAAATTAATTTTGTTATGTTTTTAATTTTATAAGTTTTAATTCATTAATTATTAATGTTTGAGCATTTTAGAAAATTGGGAGAAAATGACCCAAAATAAATATTTACAAAATGAGAAAAAAATAAGGTTCAAAAATAAATTTTTGAAGAAAAAGTCCAATCCGCAAACCGTCTGCAACCGTCCGCACATCCGTGAACACTATCTGCACAAACCGCAAACCGCACTGCAGGCGGTTGTGCGTTGTATTTTTCCCATACCGCATAGATGCGAGCGGGTCCAAACCGATCTGCAAACCGCCCAAATTCGAACCGTGAACAGCCCTAGGGTGTAGTAGTGGATTGAAGAGCCGCAAAGGAGCTGAGGACAGAAGATAGGGCAGAGGGTGACGTTGACGAGAAATGAGTGGCAGCGGAATGGCTTTGGAGGGGCAACACTGACGATAGGAAGATGTTAGGATTAGGGTTACAGTTGGGAGAGTTGGGATTGAAGAAGTTGGGGATATTTTAGAAATATTTGAAAATTGATGGTGTACATTTAACAAAAATAAAAAATAAAATAAAATTGTGTGTGGTGTGTAAATAGAATTTCCTTAAAAAAATTAGGGTGTTCAAACAAACAATTGGAGTGCATTTATAGGCTCCCAATAAGTCTTATTTTGGGCATTTGATCCACCAAATTTTAATTCTCATATTTAAGATATTTTATGAACAATTTTACATTTACAAATATTTGACTCTTAGCAATTTGGTGGTGTAAACATTCATATTAAATAAATATAACAGTGTGAATATTCACATCATGGAACCTTTACGCTGTCAATGTGAATATTAATGCGCGTTTCACCCCTATTATTATTAAGAGTATTTAAGTAATTATGTCACTTATAAAACTTATTGAAATATAAAAAAAATAATTTAAATTAAATGAAAATATAAATAGGGGATAAGAAATTTATCATTAAATATCTCTTTTTTATTTAATCATGTTTGTGACAAGTAATAAATGCGAACACTCTTCTAAACTTGAGAATTCAACCATTTTTATATCAATAAAAGAATTTTCTTACATCCATTCACGTATGAGATGAATTAAAATAGGTGTGTAGTTTGCTTTTCGTGCTCCTTTCGGATACAAGCATCCCTGCAGTTTGGACTTCTATGGTTCTGAATTGATTTCACAAGTGCAATGCGAAATAGATAAACACAAATGAGTTCAAATCCGACAATCTTTTAGAAAATCGATATTTGAATCAAATGTCAAAAATGAACTGCTTTGCCAGATTTCAGAGTCGTCACCTAAATATTTTTAAAAAATTTAGGAAATCTATTACTCATGCCAAAGGCCACTTATCCGTCATTACCAAAGTGTCTCGGCTTGGAAACTTAGGTATGGGAGGGAAAGGTCATTAATTGAGCACCCCACTCACCCGATCAAAGATCGGCCTGTGCTAATCATGATGTGATTTTTATTTACATTGTATGCTCTTGTTCTGGTTATTATTCTATTTTTACTAGGTGATGCACACAAGTATAGACCAATTCACAAAATTTGGAACGCGTTGATTTTATGTTTGTTTTGGAAAAGTATTTTGAATATATGTCACTTGGAAAAAGCAAGCTCGGATTTTACATTTAATCAATTTATTCCAACTTAAGTAAAAAGGCCTTCATCTACCGGCATTCAAACAGGTATATCATTTAAGCACTTAGCTTCATCGAAAATATGCTTGATATGGAAACAATCACACGCATGCAATATGCTAAAGCGAGAAATGCTCACCTAATACTCAAAGGCAAGCCAAATAAAAGAAAATAATTAGAAGAAATGCATGTTCCTAGACAATGCAATATGACTAATGCAACATACACATTATGTAAATAATGAGTTCGGCTACTAGTATGGCATATGAATCAATTCAAGGCATGTGATAGAGCACATATTTGAGTAATGAACTTGAAATTGACATTTGATTAGTATAATGAGCCGAACCTTATGCATGCAAAACGAGTGGATGCAAATCATGGAAAATGCTAAGTAAATACGAGGCCACCATTATAAGAGGGTAAATAAAAGGGAGAAAGAAGTGGGAATTGGAAGACAAACACCATTATTACATATTTATCCTCATGCAAGAGGGTCCGAATAAGTGTCCAAATGTCCGAATTTAAGCTAACTATTACAAATTTAAATGGAGGCTAATTAGCTTAATGAACTAACTACTTATAACATATTCAAATGAAATAGCTATCTAATTTTATTCCAACAAGGATATTATAACAATACTAATTACAATAATGAAATTGCAACAATACTTATTTACAACAATAATAATTACAATTATAACATTAATACAAGCAACAATGAGACACAACGATCGCATGCACAGTGTCCAAAAATTGCTCTGTCTGCCCAGACTTGCTCTGTTTCACCCTTAGCCACTACTTTTTGTTTCTGCTAGAATTCACTGTTCACCAAACATTGGGGACCGACTGGGTCCAAAAACAGCCGGCCGTGCCCTAATTTCATGCCAAATTTTTTTTTGTACTTTGAGGTGAGAACAGTGCAGACAGAGCCTTCCTAGGCCCTGTTTGTCCCTTCTACTCTTCTCTGTCATGGGAAACTCAAGAGAAGAACAAATTCGAGTTTGAAACCATCAACGATAGCAAGTTAATTGCTTAATGATTTTGAACATGTTTGGACAAAAATTGATGAATGTAATGAAAGACAACCACCCCTCTCTCCTATCATAAAGGCTCAAAGAGGGAGGTAGACACACCTCAAGTCTCATCAAAATATGAGAAGAACTGTCAAACGAGAAGTAATCCTTGACATGAAAGAGAGACTACACCTTGACGATGAACCTTCATAGAGGTTAAGCCATTGAGCACAGGTCTCTTTCTCATGCCTCGAATAACCATCAATCTTTCGAAATAGCTCTCAAACAAAAGAAAAGAAGAAAAGAGGGAGGTTGCAAAAATGATTATGCAATATTAATTATTAGAATGAGACTCCTAATATGAAAACCAAGCAAAGAAAAGTTACCAACTCGAATGACTCGGTGTCTAAGGCATAAACAACCGAAGTCATGAGGACATACAATACAACAAGCAAAGTATTCAAGGCATAAGCTACTTAATGAATTTAAACAAACCTAAACAGCCCCTAAACATGAAAAAATAGTGGCTAAAAATTATGTAAAAGAGCACAAAAAGATAGGAAATAATAAGGAATCACAAAGCTAGTAAACAAGAGCAAGGAGAGGTGGCTAACCCCTTCATTTTTGAGA